ACTAAAGAAAAGGGCCCAGAGTATGTAATCCCTGTGGTTGCACAATACAGTAGCTATTAGCTGCATGTGGCTAATTAAATTAAAATTAATTAAAATTAAATAAAAATTTCAAAATTCCAATTCCTCAATCACACTAGCACATTATAGGTGTTTGGCTATCCACATATAGCTAGTAGCTACTGAACTAGACTGTGAATTAAAATTTTTACTATGAAAAACGTTTGAACAGCTCTTATGTAAACATGATATCTTGTTCAGGATAGCTGCTTAAGGGCCTCTTCATGTTCTTTTTCAGGTTATTTCCTCAGTGCCTTTCTCCTTACAGCAAGGAGAGAGTGAATGGAAAGAACAATTTTAAAAGCACGTCTCTGTCCCCTGCCCCTTTCTTCAAACATGCAACATCTTACAACAAACAGAAAAAAGGTAAGAAGAGGTATCTCTTAAGAAGTTCAATGAGCGGCCCACAGTGTGGTGGCTCAAGCCTGTAATCCCAGGCACTTTGGAGCCGAGGGGTGGATCCACGAGGTCAGGAGATCGAACCATCCCTGGCTTAACACGATGAAACCCCGTCTCTGACTAAATAAACAAAAAATGGAGTCCGGGCCGTGGTGGCAGCACCTGTAGTCCCAGCTTACTCAGGAGGCGAGGCAGAAGAATGGCATGAACCTGGGAAGCAGACACTTGCAGGTGAGCCGAGATCGCACCACTGTACTTCAGCCTGCCGCGACAGAGCAAGACTCCGTCTAAAAAAAAAAAAAAAATCAATCCAGATCGAAGGAGTTCATAGAATCATAGCATCTTGGAGGTGGAAGGGACATTAAAGATCACACAGACTAACATTTCATTTTTTTATTTATTTATTTATTTTTTTAGCTCAGGAGTTTTGTTCTCGGCGTCTCGCCCAGGCTGGGAGTGCAATGGGCATAATCTTGGCTCACTGGCAACCGTCTGCCCCGGTCAAGCAGAGTTCTCCTGCTCAGCCGTTGCCGCAAGTAGCTGGGATTACAGGTATGCGCCACCATGCCCCAGTTAATTTGTATTTTTAGTAGAGATGGGGTTTCTCCATATTGGTCAGGCGGTCTTGACATCCCAACCCTTCAGGTGACCCCCCCGCTTCTGCCTCCCAGTGTGGTGAGATTACAGGTGTGAGGCCACCATTGCCCGGCCAACATTTTCTTCTGTTTGTTTGTTGTTTGCTTTTTTTTGTTTTCAGTTTTTGAGATGGAGTCTCTCACTGTCGCCAGGCTGGAGTACTAGTTGTGGCGTGGATCTCGGCTCACTTCAAGCTCTGCCTCCCAAGGTTCACGCCATTCTTCCTGCCTCAGCCTCCCAAGTAGCTCGGGACTACAGGCACCTGCCCCACGTCCGGCTAATTTTTTGTATTTTTAGTAGAGGACTGCCTGGGTTTCACCATGTTAGCCAGGATGGTCTCAATCTCCTAACCTCGTGATCTGCCCGCCTCAGCCTCCTAAAGTGTTGGGATTACAGGCGTGAGTCACTGCACCCAGCCAACACTTCATTTTACAATGACAAATTGGAGGTGCAAGAAAGGGAGATGGTATGTCTAAGGTCACAACAGGAGATAAATAACACAACTGGGTCTCCCAGGGTTGGCATGGAGTCAAGAAGAATTTCTCTTCCTGAATCAAACCAGGCAGGCATGCCAGCACTGTAAATAATATTCCTATAATCAAACCTGTGTGTGTGTGTGTGTGTGTGTGTGTGTGTGAGAGAGAGAGAGAGAGAGAGAGAGAAAGGGAGAGGAGGAAGTGATGTCAAAAGAATGAAAACTCTGTGGGAACACATTTTTCCTTCGATTAACCTCCATAAATGCACCTAGCTAGGGCTACATGCTTACACTGTTTATCAGGGATACACGGGGATTGTTTTTACATACTATTTTTTTTTTTTTTTTTGAGACAGGGTCTGTCTCTGTCACCCAGGCTGGGGTACAGTGGCTCAAGTGATCCTCCTGCTGCAGCCCCCCAAGTTGCTAGGACTCCAGGCATGCGCTACAATGCCTGGCTAATTTTTTTGGTATCTTTTGTAGAGATGGGCTTTCACCACTTTGCCCAGACTGGCCTCGAATTCCTGGGCGTAAGCAATCTGCCCCCCTCAGCCTCCCTAACTGCTGGGATTACAGGTAGGAGTCACCACACCTGGCTTAGCATACTATTATTAACTATCAGCTCTGAATAAAACTTACCAGTGGAGATGTGCTCTGTCCACTCTGGGTGTGTTTCATCCTCAGTTCTGTGTACAAATACCAGATGTAATTGATGGTGTAGAGAAGTGAGGAAATGTAGAATATCTAGGTTAAAATCAAAACAACCCATCACAACTATCTCACTCTGACACTGTGAAGTTCTTTCAACATACTCCATTATTTTCTATTATGGGAATCCTACCTACTAGTCTATTAGTAACGTACCATCTAGTGTCTATATCAGGCAAAACCATACCAAGTCTGAAATTCTTTTTTGTGTGTGTGTGACAGAGTTTTTACTCTTGTTGCCTAGGCTGAGTGCAGTGGCACAATCTTGGCTCACTGCAACCTCTGCCTCCCGGGTTCAAGCGGTTCTCCTGCCTCAGCCTCCCGAGTAGCTGAGATTACAGGCACGTGTCACTATGCCCCGCTAAATTTTATTGTATTTTTGGTAGAGATGGGGTTTCACCATGTTGGCCAGGCTGGTCTCGAACTCCTGACCTCAGGTGATCCACTCACCTTGGCTTCCCTAAGTGCTGGGATTACAGGTGTGAGCCATCGCACCTGGTCCCAAGTCTGAAATTCTAACAGGCCTACCTAAAACATGCCCTGCTTTCTTATTTTATCCTTTGGACTGTTCAGAAGAACCACAGCATTATCCCACCTCTACCTGCCCAACAGTCCCACTTTTATGAAGATATCATATAATCTTTTTCTATTTTATTTTTTGTTTTTTGTTTTTTGTTTTTTTTTTTGAGACGGAGTCTCGCTCTGTCGCCCAGGATGGAGGGCAGTGGCCGGATCTCGGCTCACTGCAAGCTCCGCCTCCCGGGTTCACGCCATTCTCCTGCCTCAGCCTCCTGAGTAGCTGGGACTACAGGCACCCGCCACCTCACCTGGCTAGTTTTTTGTATTTTTTAGTAGAGATGGGGTTTCACCGTGTTAGCCAGGATGGTCTTGATCTCCTGACCTCGTGATCCACCCGTCTCGGCCTCCCAAAGTGCTGGGATTACAGGCTTGAGCCACTGCGCCCGGCCTTTCTATTTTATTTTTTAATTGAAAAGGCAATAAGGATTTCTACTTCTAGTAATGACAGGCTAAGCTATTTGAATCAACTTTCCATTCAAAAGAACTAAACATGATGAATAAGATATATTTTTAAAAATCCTTAAAAGAACCTAAGAACTGAGATGATATCAAGGAACTAGTAGGATAAAATCTAAGGGAAGGAATTTCTACTTCCAGCTTTGATGAGATAACAGGAATAGAATTTACCCTCCAGCCTTAAACAACTAAAAATTGAACATCCAGTTTTCAAACAGTAGGCAACAAGCAGAAGAGAACAGCAATCCCTGAAAAAAGAAAAGCAAGGTGAGTCCATCAAGTGCCCCAGCTCACCAGCTGGTAAGAGAACAGGAGGGCTGGGCATGGTAGCTCACCCTGTAATCTCAGCACTTTGTGAGGCCAAGGTGGGAGGATCACGAGGTCGAGATCGAGACCATCCTGGCCAACATGGTGAAACCCCATCTCTACTATAAATACAAAAATTAGCTGGGCGTGGTGGTACATGGCTGTAATCCCAGTTACTCAGGAAGCTGAGACTAGAGAATCACTTGAACCTGAGATACAGAGGCTACAGTGAGCCAAAATCATGCCCCCTGCACTCCAGCCTGGCGACAGAGTGAGACTCCATCTCAAAAAAAAAAAAAAAGAAAAAGAAAAAAGAAGAAAAGAAAAAAGAAAAAGAAAGAAAAGAAAAAGAGTGAGTACAGGAGCGGGAATCCAAACAGACCACTGTCTTGGTGAGTTGAGAAGACAAAATTCAGAGTTTGGGAGGCCAAGGCAGCTAAAATTTGTCAAGTACAGTATCAGAGCAGGGGAAGCTATATAGTGAGATGATTCTCAGGAGAGCTGCAGAGGTCACCCCAAGTCTTTGGTTAAGTATTAATCAATGTATATGGGAGAGAAAACCATGAAAACCAGAGAAAGAATCATCAGAAAGGAGTAGATGGGACAATCCCTAAAGCTCACACAGGGCCAGGAATAGTTTGTTTGCTTTCTCATCAACCAGAGTGGAAAAATACACAGGGCATAATCATAAGAAGAATATTGCTTCTGTAATGGGATCAAATTAGCCATACATAAAAGGCTGCCCTCACAATGCTTCAAAGCAAGCCTTCTAATTAGCAGGGCGTGGTGGTGCACGCCTGTAATCCCAGCACTTTGAGAGGCCGAGGCAGGCAGATCACCTGAGGTCAGGAGTCTGAGACCAGCCTGACCAATATGGTGAAACCCCATCTCTACTAGAAATACAAAAATTAGCTAGGCATGGTGGTGTGTGCCTGTAATCCCAGCCACTTGGGAGGCTGAGGCAGGAGATTCGCTTGAGTCTGGGAGGCGGAGGTTGCAGTGAGCTGAGATCACGCCACTGCACTCCAGCCTGGGCAACGGAGCAAGACTCTGTCTCAAAAAAATAAAAATCACAAAATTAGCTGGGCATGGTGGCATGCACCTGTGGTCCTAGCTACTCAGGGGTCTGAGGTGGGAGGATTGCTTGAGCCCAGGAGGTCAAAGCTGCAATGAGCTGTGATTGAACCACTGCACTCCAGCCTGGGAGACAGAGCAAGACCCTGTCTCAAACAGTAATGATAGTAATAATAATAATAGTTTAGAAATAGAAAATTGGAACAGACCTGTAACTAGTAAGGAGATTTAATCAGTAATCAAAAAATTTCCCCAAACACAAAGCCTAGAACCAAATGGCTTTACTGGTAAATTATATCAAACACTTAGAGAATAATTATCACCAAAACCTGTCAAGTTATTCCAAAAAGTTGAACAGGATGCAATGCTTCCCAACTCATTCTATGAAGCCAGCAAAACCCTGATAGCAAAGCCAGACAATGACACTACAAGAAAAGAACAGACCAATATCCCTGATGAAAACTGTTGTAAAAATCCTCAACAAAATAGTAGCAAACAAAATTCAACAGCACATTAAAAGGATTATATACCATGACGAAATAGGAGCTATTCCTGGAATGCAAGGATGGTTCAACACACAAAAATCAATTAATATATCACATTAATAGAAGTAAGGAAAAAACTATATGACTATTTCAATTAATGCAGAAAAGCATCTGACAAAATTCAATACCCTTTCATGATTTAAAAAAAAAAAAAAAGCTACCAAAAAAAAACCCAAACTAGGAACAGAAGAAAACTATCTCAACAAAATAAAGGCTAGTACATATACACACTGGAGTACTATTCAGCAATAAAAAAAATGAGATCTGTCATTTGCAACTACATAGATGGAACTGGAGATCATTATATTAAGTGAAACAAGCCAGGCACAGAAAGGCAACCATCGTATATTTGCAGTTATTTGTGGAATCTAAAAATCAAAACAATTGAACTCATGGACATAAAGAGTAGAAGGATGGTACCAGAAGCTGGGAAGGGTAGTGGGAAGGTAGGAAGGAGGTGGAAATGGTTAATGCGTACAAAAAATATATATAGTAATGGGTACAAAATACATATATAATAATGAGTACAAAAATATATATAGTTAGAATAAATAAGACCTACTATTTGATAGCATAACAAGGTGACTATAGTCAACAATAACTTAATTGTACATTTTAAAAGAATTAAAACAGTATAATTGTATTGCTTATAACAGAAAGGAAAAATGCTTGAAGGGATGGATAACCCCATTCTCCACCATGTAATTATTTTACACTGCATGCCTGTATCAAAATATTTCATGTACCCCCATAAATATATATACCTACTATGTACCCACAAAATTTTAAAAAATTGTTTTAAATGTAATTTATAGTCTTCCTCCACCAGAGGTATATAACAATTCCCATTTTATTATACATTTACCAATATTAAATCATTTCATAAACAAAAAAGCCAAAACAAAATAAAAAAACAACAAAGGCCATATATGAAAAGCCCAGAGAAAACATCATACTCAATGATGAAAGACAAAGCTTTTCTTCTAAGTTCAGAACAAGGTGAGGATGCCTGCTTTTACCACTTCTATTCAATGTAGTTTTGGAAGTCCTAGCTAGAGCAATTAAACAAGAAGAAACACAAGATAATGAAATTGAAAAGGAAGATATAAAATCATATTTGTTTGCAGATAACACGATCTTATATGTAGAAAACTCTAAAGATTACACACGCACGCACACACACACACACATACACATGCAACTGTTCAAACAAATAATAGAATTCAGTCAAGTAGCCAGATACAAAACAACATGCAAAAATCAGATGCACTTCTATGTATCAACATGAACAATCCAAAAAAGAAATTATGAAAATAGTTCCATTTACAATATCATTAAAAACAATAAAATACTTAGGAATAACTTAACCAAGGAGGCAAAAGACTTGTACACTAAAAAGTATGAAACATCGCTAAAAGAAATTAGAGAAGACAGCAATAAACAGAGAGATACCCATGTTTATGGACTGGAAGAGTTACTATTTAGTTTTTTGTTTTTTGTTTTTTTGAGACAAGGTCTTGCTCTGTCACTCAGGCTGGAGTGTCGTGGCGGAATCATAGCTCACTGCAGCCTCAACCTCTTGGGCTCAAGCAATTCTCCCATCCCAGCCTCCAGAGTAGCTGGAATTACAGGTGCACACCACCACACCCAGCTAATTTTTGTATTTTTTGTAGAGACAGGGCCTCGCCATGTTTCCCAGGCTGTTCTCAAACTCCTGGGCTCAAGCAATCTGCCTGCCTCAGCTTCCCAAAGCGTTGGGATTGTAGGCATGAGCCATCACACCTGGCTGAAACACTTACTGTTGTTAAGATGTTCAATACTACCCTAAGTGACCTACAGATTCAATGCAATCTCTATAAAAATCACAATAACTTTTTTTTTTTGCAGAAATAAAATATACCATACTAAAATTCATATGGAATATCAAGGGACCCTAAATAGCTAAAACAATCTTGAAAAAGAGAGGCCGGGCATGATGGCTCACGCCTGTATTCCCAGCACTTTGGGAGTTTGAGGTAGGAGGATCACTTGAGCCCAGAGGTTTGAAACCAGCCTGAGCAACATGGCAAGATCCTATCTCTACAGGAAAAAAAAAAAAAAAAAAATTACAAATTAGCCAGGTGTGATGATGTGCACCTGTGGTCCTAGCTACTCGGGAGGCTGAGACAGGAGGATCACTTCAGCCCAGAAGGTTGAGGCTGCAGTGAGCCAAGATCATGCCACTGCACTCCAGCCTGGGCGACAGAGCAAGACCCTGTCTCAAAAAGTAAAAAGAATAAAAAGTTGGAAGACTCACACTTTCTGGTTTCATACAGAACGAATGGATCAGAATTTAAAGCCCAGAAATACATCCTACATATATAATCAAATGATTTTGGCAAGGGTGCCACGATCATTCAGTGGGGAAAGGACACTCTTTTCAACAAATGGGGCCAGGCATGGTGGCTCACGCCTGTAATCCCAGCACTATGGAAGGCTGAGGCAGGAAGACTGCTTGAGCCCAGGAGTTCAAGACTAGTGTGAGCAACATAGGAGGCCCCATCTCTACCAAAAATACAAAAATTATCCAGGTGTGGTGGCATGCACCTGTAGTCCCAGCTACTTGGGAGGCTGAGGTGGGAAGATCAATTGAGCCCAGAAGGTCGAGGCTACAGTGAGCCATGATCATGTCACTGCACTCCAGTCTGGGTAACAGACCAAGACTCTGTCTCAAATAAATAAATAAATGGTACCAGGAAAACTGAACATCCACATGCACAAGAATGAAGCTGGACCCTTACTTTACACCACATACGAAAATCTACAAATAGATCACAGACTTAAATGTAAGACTAAAACTATAAAACTCTTAAAAGAAAATATAGTGTAAAAGCTTCATAATGTTAGATTTGAAAATGATTTCTTGGGTAGGACACCAAAAACATAAGCAACAAATGAGAAAATGAACTGTAACAAAATTTATAAAACTTACATGCATCAGAGGACACAACAGAATAAAAAGGCAGCCTACAGAATGGGAGACAATATTTGCACATTGTATGTCTGGCAGGGGATTAATATAAATACTTTATAAAGAATTCTTACAGCTCAGTAACAAAAAAGCAAACAATCTGATTAAAAAATGGGGAAGGGGCTGGGCATGATGGCTCACACCTGTAATCCCAGCACTTTGGGAGGCCAAGGCAGGCAGATTGCTTGAAGTCAGGAGTTGAAGACCAGCCTGGCCAACATGGTGAAACCTCATCTCTACGAAAACTACAAAGATTAGCCAGGTGTGGTGGCGCATACCTGTAATCCCAGCTACTCAGGAGTCTGAGGCAGGAGAATCACTAGAACCCAGGAGGCGGAGGTTGCAGTGAGCCAAGATAGCGCCACTGCACTCCAGCCTGGGTAAGAAAGTGAGACTTCGTGCCCCCTAAAAAAAAAAAAAGGGGAAAGGACTTGAAGAGACATTTCTTCAGAAGATATATAAATGGCCAATAAGCACATGAAAAGTTATCCAACATTACTAATGATTAGAGAAATGCAAATCAAAACCACAATGAGATACCACTTTGTACCCATTATGGTGGCTATTACTTAAAAAACAAAAAAAATAGCAACAAATGTTGGCACGAATGTGGAAGCCAGGGCACTGTGCACTGCTGTTATGGAAAATATGGTGTTTCCTCAAAAAATCAAACACAGAATTTCCTTCTGATCCAGTAATTCTACTCCTGAGTATATGTACAAAAGAACTGAAAGTAGGGGCTCAAACGTATTTGTACATCAATATTCACAGCAGCATTATTCACAACATCTAAAAGGTGGAAGTAACCCAAGTGTCCATTGACAGATAAACAGATAAACCAAATGTGGTCTATCCATACAATGGAATATTACTCAGCCTTAAAAACAGAGGAAATTCTGACACATGCTACAACAAGATAAACCTTAAAGACATGCTAAATGAAATAAGTCAGATACAAAAGGACAAACATTATGTGATTCCAGATTGAGACCATCCTGGCTAACACGGTGAAACCCCATCTCTAGTAAAATACAAAAAAAAAAAATTAGCCGGGCATGGTGGCATACGCCTGTAGTCCCAGCTGCTCGGGAGGCTGAGGCAGGAGAATCGCTTGAACCTGGGAGGCAGAGGTTGCAGTGAGCCGAGATTATGCCATTGCACTTCAGCCCAGGCAATAGTGTGAGACTCTGTCTCAAAAACAAAAACAAAACCAAAACAAACAAACAAACTAGTGTGTGTAAGCCCTCTCCAGCTCATCCCTGATTACAAGTAAGAATCCTAGGAAAAATATAAAAAACAACCACTTGAAGACACTGAAAAGTAAACAAAAACAGGTAGATTGTGGAAAGGAGTCAAACTTGGAGAAGTAAACCGAACAGAAGAAGTGAGTTTCCCAAACTTTTTCCTCTCTTTTCTCTTAGTTTTGCTCAAGCATGTACCTCAGTCATGATGGTGCTCAATGAAGGCACCTCCAACTCTAATAGAAATCTATCTTAAGGAAACAGAGATCAGAAAAGGGCCCCCTTTGGGCAGGAAAGTATGGAGGGAATCCTAGAAGAAAGGCAGTCAGGAAAAGGGATGCTTTAATTCTGTGTATTAATCCAAACAAGTCTCAGCCTAACCTGTCTACTATGCATGTGCATGACAGTCTCAAACCAACACAGCCAAGGCTTATAGAACTAAACTGAGATTTGAACCATTGTTCACAGATGATGAGACCAAATTTACATTCTAAACCTAATCAGGTTGCCTGCTAAAATAAAAGTATTAACAATCTCTAGAGAGTTACAAAAGGACCCAGATTCTATGCAACATAGTATTCATGACATCTAAGATGCAATCCTAAATTACCTGACATACAAAGAATAGGAAAACGTGACCCATTCTCATGGGAAAAGATAATCAACAGATACCAGCCTAGAAATGAACCAGACACTGGAAATATCCAACAAATATTTTTAAAAGCAGCTATTATACTACATAGCTCAACAAGGTAAAGGAAAACATATCTGAAATGATTTGGAGGGTGATGGAAACAGGAATGTTTGTTATCTTGATTGTGGTGATGATTTCACAGGGGAATAGATATGTAAAAGCTGATTAAATTATACACTATAAATACATATAGTTTACTATAGATACAGCTCAATAAAGTTGTAAAAAAAAAACAAAGTAACAGGCCGGGTGCAGTGGCTCATGCCTATAATCCCAGCACTTTGGGGGGCCAAGACGGGTAGATCACGAGGTCAGGAGATTGAGAACATTCTGGTTAACATGGTGAAACCCCATCTCTACTAAAAATACAAAAAATTAGCTGGGCGTGGTGGCAGGCACCTGTAGTCCCAGCTGCTTGGGAGGCTGAGGCAGGAGAATGGTGTGAAACTGGGAGGTGGAGCTTGCAATGAGCTGAGATGGCGCCACTGCACTCCAGCCTAGACGACAGAGCGAGACTCCATCTCAAAAAAAAAAAAAAAAGAAAGTAACATTAACCACATCCATACCAAGCACAAAGTAAATATTATTAATGAACATTTTACAGATTAGGAGACTGAAGTTCAGAAAGATTAGGTACTGGCCAAACATTACAAAGTTAATCAGGTCCAGGATTCTAATACAGACTTTTCTGATCAAAGACTATAATTATCTCAGTAAACAATACAGTCTTAATTCTATTTAATTCCTGAGGTTATTAGCGGGACTGAGCAAAGTATGACTCTAAAACTTTTTAAACTTATATGAGATTGGTAATATATTAGTGTACAGATTTTATACCACCAATTATATATCATTAATTTCTTACTAAATTGAAAGAAATTGCCCCTCTAGTAACAAATTCCAAAGGAAATATCTAGCAGTGAGCACAGGCTGCATTTTAACCTTTACTTTTTTCACACCACGTCTCAGAAATATAGAAGCAGTATTATATACTGATGGCACTATGTGAATTAATCCATTGGTAAAATTCATGAAAGATATACAATCCATATATGATTATCTGTAGTATTTTCAAAATCCAATGTTCATTTTATTCTTGTAACACAAAACCATCCAATCATTTCAAATGATATTATAGAAAAGTATTTCATTACCTGGAAATATGGTCACAATACGTTGAGTAATAACAACAGGTTATAAAAAAGTATTCATTGGCTGGGGACGGAGGCTCACACCTGTAATCCCAGCACTTTGGGAGGCTGAGGCTGGCAGATCATGAAGTCAAGAGATCAAGACCATCCTGGCCAACATGGTGAAACCCAGTCTCTACTAAAAGTACAAAAATTAGCTGGGCCTGGTGGTGCACGCCTGTAGTCTCAGCTACTCTGGAGGCTGAGGCAGGAGAATCACTTGAACCTAGGAGGCGGAGCTTGCAGTGAGCCGAGATTGCGCCATTGTACTCCAGCCTGGTGACAGACCGAGTCTCAGCCTCAAAAAACAAAAAAAAATAATCCCAGCACTTTGGGAGGCTGAGGCGGGCGGATCACGAGGTCAGGAAATAGAGACCATCCTGGCAAACACGGTGAAACCCTGTCTCTATTAAAAATACAAAAAATTAGCCGGGCATGGTGGCAGGCGCCTGTAGTCCCAGCTACTTGGGAGGCTGAGGCAGGAGAATGGCGTGAACCCGGGAGGCAGAGCTTGCAGTGAGCTGAGATCACGTCACTGCACTCCAGCCTGGGAGAGAGAGCGAGACTCCGTCTCAAAACAAACAAAAAAAAATTAAAGAGTAAAGATAATATTATTTATCTTTTTGCTTCTCTGAATTTTCAAAATTTTCTATAATAAATAAATACTGTTTTTGTATGAAAAAAGATAAAAGCTATTGTTTCAAAATGTAACAATAAATAAATGGGTCTCCACTTCCCAAGGTGAATCATCTTTGTTTCTATTTAGATCTGAGTGTGCCTTTCTTGCAAGGTGCAGTGACAGTCTTGTAGCACTTACCTGTCCAACTGCTTGTAGGTTATAGCAGATGATGTCCTTATTTGCTACTGAAGCTCCATAGAGAAGTGTCTCTGTGAGCCAGCAAAGTCCCAGGAGCAGGTCACAGAAGCTCAGATAAAAAAGTGGTCTTATCTGTCAAAGTAATAAAATCTTCATTTCATACATGATGTAGCTAGGAGAATGTTAACAATGTAACAATTCTTACATTTTATCTTTCTAGTAGGAAACTGGCATCATTTTTCTGGGGCCTCTGCCATTGGCTGATTGTGGGGAATGCAAATGAAGACTACAGATAGGAAAGAATCTATAACATAACTACAGTTATCCCAACTGTTCTGGAATCAGAGTACTCATGGATAGATTAGTACTGAAACTTCTTACTCATAGGGACACTCCTTTCTTAGGTATAGGGTTAAAAAAAGAGTGGAAAGATGAGAAATTTTGCAGTGGACATGTACCACAAGGAGACAATTGAGAGTGCTTTAGTGGCACAGGCAACATCTTCTACTTTTTTTTTTTTTTTTTGAGACAGAGTTTTGCTCTGTCACCCAGGCTAGAGTGCAGTGGCACAATCTCAGCTCACTGCAAGCTCCGCCTCCCAGGTTCACACCATTCTCCTGCCTCAGCCTCCCAAGTAGCTGGGACTACAGGTGCCTGCCACCGCGCCCGGCTAATTTTTTGTATTTTTAGTAGAGACGGGGCTCCATCGTGTTAGCCAGGATGGTCTCGATCTCCTGACCTCATGATCCACCCGCCTCGGTCTCCCAAAGTGCTGGGATTACAGGTGTGAGCCACTGCGCCCAGTGGCAACATCTTCTAAATATAAAAAATGAGGTAATCTGCTAAGTGTTTAGGGATGTGGCTGAAGACTTAAAGAAAATGAAAACATGTTTACAGTAATAAAAAGTCAGGGTAAAAAGTCAGTAATAGTGAAAAATGTTAGAATGAACTGTACATGTTGCCTTTCAGTTTCTGACCACACTGGTGAAATCTGTCTTCTTATCCTTCTCCTTTTGGCATCCCCATTCCCACTTATCTAAAAATAGTTTTGGTCCTTCTATGGAGAAAATTATAAAACATTTATTGAGGGACTCCTAAAGGAGGTCTAAAGTGAAGAAATATGTCATATGCTTATAGATTGTAAGACGCAATACTATAAAAATTTCAATTCTGCCTAAATTGTTCTATAGATTAAATGCAATCTCAATGAAAGCTCAACCTACTTTCCTGTGGAACTTGACAAGCTGACTCTAAATCTGATGTAGAAATACAAAATATCACCCTGTGAGCCGCAATCCAAGGGAGTAACGGTTGGGTGTTTGCCATCTTAGGGAGAAGCTCTCATCCATGGCACACCTGGCATGGGAAAACCCCTTTAATGCACCACACCTGCAGCTTGTGGACAATGGCCTCACGGACCTCCACAGCAGCCCCACAGGACCCACAGGCCCCCCTCACTGCTCTCTTAACCTGGCAGCTGCTGCCTTATAAAAGTACAGTTGTGAATTTGACTCCACGAAGTATTATGCACTGTGTGGTTCTCGTGGGGTCTTAGGTTGTGGTCTGACACACACTGTGGTCATTCCCCAGGTTTAGTGAAATGCTGTATGCAGGTGGATCCCCAAAAGTACAAGGGCATATTTAATGGATTCTCAGTTACACTTAAGGAGGATGGTGTTCATTGTTTGGCTAAAGGACGGGCTCTAACTTTCATTGGTCACTCCATGCAGGGGCTCTGCAAGTTTGGCTTTTATGAAGTCTTTAAAGTCTCGTATAGCAACATACTCCCAGAGCATGTTATCTCTGGTGCACATCACTATACTTGGTTGCCTCTGCCAGTGCTGAATTATTTGCTGTAACTGCCCTATGGAAGCTGGTAAGGTTCAAATTCAAACCCAACCAGGTTAGACCAAGACTTTGAGGGATGCAGCTCCCAAGATGTATAAGGAAGAAGGCCTAAAAACATTCTACAGAGGGGTTGCTCCTCTCTGGATGAGACAGATAGCATATGCCATGATAAGTTTGCCTGCTTTTAAGGTACTGTTGAAGCATTGTACAAGTTTGTGGTTCAGAAGCCCTGCAGTGAATGTTCAAAGGCAGAGGAGCTGGTTGTAACATTTGTAGCAGGTTACATACCTAGAGTGTTTTGTGCAATTGTTTCTCACCCTGATGATTCTGTGGTATTTGTGTTGAATAAAGAAAAAGGTAGCAGTGCTTCTCAAGTTTTCCAGAGACTTAGATTTAAAGGTGTATGGAAGGGACTGTTTGCCTGTATCATTATGACTGGTACTCTGACTGCACTACAGTAGTTTATCTATGATTCTAGATGCCAGAATCTCTGAAGAAGAGGCTTGGGTTAACTCAGCAGATAGATCAAAGCAAATGTGGACTGAATCTGCCTGTTGATCAGTGTTGAAGAAAGTACAAAAGGAACTTTCATATATTTGACAGCGTAGGAAATTGTCTATTCCTGATATTATTACTATAGTACTCTTGCTTAAGTCAAGAATTTCAAATTTACTATTGAAATAAACCCAATTCTTCATGGAAAAAAAATACAAAATATTAAGATAACCAAGACACTCTTAAAAAAAAAAGGAGAACTTGCCCCACCTCATCTTAAGACTTATTGCGGGATCTGGCCAGCAGCCTGCAATGCAACAGGGCTCTTTCTTTGTTCCCAGACGGATCGGCAGGTTGAGAAATAAAAGACAGACATGAAATAGTGAAAGCTGGGTCCAGGGGGGTCACCACCTTCTGGTCCTGCGATGCCGCCAATGCACTGGATATATCAGCATTTATTATTAAGTTTAGTGAGGGCGGGGGCAGGTTAGTGAGGGATTTAGGGTCGTTTATGAGGTGAGATGATCACATGGAGATGAAATAATTCTTTAACATAACATCGGTATGCAGAAGTGCAGTATACAGAGATAAGAATTTAAATATAGTGTGTGCGTCAACAATTTCTAACAGAGCCTTGAAACAGAAACACAGTCTATCCATAACCTATGTTTAGTAAGATACTAATCAGCAATAATAACTGCAGCAAAAGCTGGTTGCAAACAATCAATAGAAACAGGACGTGAAACAACCGGTTAGACCACAAATTCTCAGAAAGGAGTATGCCTTAACCCTAAAGAGACCTAGAAGAGCTGTGGCAAGATAAAGGCGTTTATAACCCTATCTTCTCCATATGAACAGGTACCCCTCATGTGTCCATTTATAGGCTCTCCACAAGGGTCTCATTCCATTCCCAGAGCTATGAACATCTGCTTTTCTGGGATAGGAATCTTGGTGATGTGAAACCTCCCTGACTGCACATCCGTTTATAGGCTCTCTGCAGGGGGAAGCACATCACGTGCTGTTGGCTCATTTTGGCAGTCCAACCTGACATTGTCTTTACACAGTCCTGCATGCAATTTTGTATTTACAATAATCAGGAGCATTTAATCTTTTATTCCGTAGCAATAGTTTCAGGGGGACTCCCTACAAAGACTAACATAGACCTAGAGAGAAGATACTGTGGTACTAGTACAGGGATGGACAAATAGGTGAATAGAATGAAAATATCCCAAATTAAGCCCAGCAATATATATATATCTCTCTGATGTATGATACAAGTGACTTTTTCAATCAGTGGAAAAGGGACAGTCTTTTCAAAATATGAAGCTAGAACAATCGGGTATCCATACAGGGAAAAAAAAATGAAATTAGGCCCCTACTTTGTATCACACTACACTCAAAAAATCAGTTCTAGGACGGGCACGGTGGCTCATGTCTATAATCCCTGTACTTTGGGAGGTGGGCAGATCACCTGAGGTCAGCAGTTCAAAATCAGCCTGGCCAACATGGCGAAACCCCATCTCTACTAAAAATACAAAAATTAGCTGGGCATGGTGGTGGGCGTCTGTAATCCCACACTCAGGAGGCTGAGGCAGGAGAATCATTTGAACCCAGGAGGCGGAGGCTGCAGTGAGCCGAGATCGCGCCACTGCACTCCAGCCTGAGGACAGAGTGAGACTCCATCTAATCAGTTCTAGGCCAGGCTCAGTGGATTATGACTACAATCCTAACACTTTGGGAGGCCGAGGCAGGAGACCTGCTTGAGCCCAGGAGTTCAAGACCAGACTGGGCAACATGGTGAGATTCCATCTCTACAAATAAAATAAAACACAAAAAAATTAGCTGGTCACGGTGACATACACTTGTGGTCCCAGCTACTTCGGAGTCTGAGGCAGGAGGATCACTTGAGACCAGAAGGTCGAGGCTGCAGTGAGCCATTAATGCATCACTGCACTTCAGCCAGGGCAACAGAACAAGACCCTGTCTCAAAAAAAAAAAAAAAAAATCCATTCCAAGTGGTTTAAAGACCAAAATGTGAAAGGGCAACAACGATAAATCTTTTTTTTACATTCTATGTCATTTTATTCCGTAGCAATAGTTTCAGGGGGTCTCCTATGTTAGTAAAAAGACTAACATAGACCTAGAGAGAAGTGCAAGCAAACCTCACCTCGTTTTGCCCTCCTTTGCCCTGCCAAAGACTTTTGATATGTTTTAACATCTCCCTATACATAGGGTCCTTTCCTTTCCTTTTCCTCTTTCCCCCTTTCCCTTTCCTGGGAGTCCAAATGGCCATAAACATATGAAAATATGCCCTATCTTATTAGTAATAAAGGAAATGAAAAATTAAAACTACAATAAGAAAATAATTATACACCCATGGCAAAAATTTTAAGTCTGATAACAGCGAGTATTAATGGGAACAAAAAGCAACAGGACCCTTTATACACTGCTGGCACAACCAGCTGGAAAAGAGTTTGGCATTAATTTAGGGGCAGTGGAAATCCTATGACAATTCTGATATTGGGCAAATACACTAGATAAACTTGTTCATCTGTGCACCAGAAAACATGTACAAGAATGCTTATAGCAGCATAATGTACAAGAATGCTTATACAAGAATGCTTATGTACAAGAAAACATGTACAAGAATGCTTATAGCAGCATAAGCAGGTAAATAAATTCTAGTATATTCATACTACAGAATACCAAACATCAATGAAAATGAAATGACCTCGTGCTCTATACAACGTGGATACATCTCACAAATAATATTGAGGGATAAAAGCAAC